TCAGTTGGCTCTTTAAAGTCTGTGTTTATATTTTCTCCATACTGGAAATGTACAAAAAAGCTCACTTCCATGTTAACACATGTGACTCATTTATTTCCATTCCAATTATTCCAATACATACTTCATTCATCAAGACATTCTATAACTACTGGACAAAACTACAAGTCTATCCACAGCGAAGGCCTCTATATGAATCTGATTCACTCACAGTCTCCATCAGCCCTCAGGCTTGAGTCCCAGTGTGACATGAAGTCACTGAATCTGGTGTAGAAAGAAATTCATATCAAGACTGGGCAGCAGCTTGCCCATCAGTTGTGAGTTGTCTGCTGGTGTCAGAATGTAGTTTATGGTTCACAGATCATAGTTCATCCTACTAGAGGACACCTGTGGCTCTGTGCTGCTCATTATTTCTAATGAATCTCAAGACGTGTCTTCAGCCCTCTGGAAAATTTCAAACACACCGTGGTCTACAACAAGGCTGCTGATCCTGTGACCCGTTGGTGATCTCTTTCATGTGTGAGAAGATCCTCTCTGTCCTTCTGTACAGACAGCAGCAGAGCCTGACTGGTCAGTATCAGTGATCAGATCAGCTTTATCTACCTGAAAACACACAATTCACCAATGAGGGAGCCAACAGTTTAGTTTTGTTTTGGCATTTCCTGAGATCTCCTGTGTTCAGCTCCAGAGTCATCTGTCGGACTGCTTCTTGTTGAGACACTGCAGACCAGCAGTTTATCTGAACTCGCCTGTTCACTGCGATTCACAGTGTTATTGTATTGCAGGTGCAGTTGATTTCTGGGAAACTACAGGTAAGATTTTCACTCCCTTCTGTATATGAAAAGACATTTTCTATATCTGCTTGTCATGACATTTTTCTACCTTGTTTCAAGTCAGTTTGAGAATCGGCAAGATCCATGTTAGAAAGTAGAGAATAACGATTCTCACAGCACAGCAGCTTGAGCAGTTTGAGACTGGACCAGCTGTAGTCTGTCACAGAAGCAACAGCAGGTGCTTGTTCTCTCATCTGAAGCCCTTGTGCAGGAGCAGTCATGTACAGTTCAGATCTGTCCACCTTTCTCTCCCCGAGCCCACAAGATGTGGATCAGAGAGCTCAGCCAGC